GAATGATTCTGATTGGTGGAATTTCTGCACAGCATCATGGGTGATGTAGTTTTTCCTGCAAAAATCCTGTTGTTGAACGTTACTCTTTTAAATAGTTGAATGATGCAAATTAACCATATACAACTGCATTTCCAAAACAATTCACAACATCAGAGCTCACAATTGGTATTTTTCAATTGTGTAGAAAAGGTTTACTATGTTTATTCCCTTTTTTTTAACTTCTGGACCCAGACACTTATTGTCTGCATATTATTGGCATTAATTGATGAGCCAAAATATAAGTACGATCAATCCAAATGAAAAGTGCAAGCACTCATGCCATCTTATTTCTTTGAAAGTTTCTGTGCTTGTGTATGGAAAATATAAAATGGGTTGATCAAAAATGTACATAAAGTATATTATTGAAATACAGTTAAGAAGAAAAAATACTTCCATTTGTTTTTTCTGTGTTCGTTTAATGATAGTCTCTACCCAAAATAATTTTAACTTCCCAATTGAATAAAAACAACAAAATGTGTTTACAGTAAGTCTCCTATAATGGACGTCTAGGGGGAAATGTTACAGTAAATTTAAAATGCACATTTGTGCTAAACAGCTTGTTAAGAAGTGCTTTTCTGCAATTGTTCCTATTATTCATTAGTGGGTCAAAGAGACCAAATGTTTTTACTAAAAATCTTGTCAGGCATATTTAGAACAAGAATCATTGAATGATATATTCAAATATATTTAAGGATCACAGCTTCATTAATTCATTTTCCTTTAGTCTAGAGATCTGCGCAGGACAAAATTTTGAATCCCGCCCGCTCCCGCCAGGTTTAGCCCGAACCCGACCACTCCTGCTTATATTCAGCGTTTGTTGTCCCGCTGCCCGACACACCCCATTTTTTATCCGCCGCCTCTCTCTCATTCACACACATACAACACAAAGCTCTCTCTCTCATTCGCACACACATACAGACAGCAACAAACAAGCTAAACGCAGCATCACGCTGTCTCATTCACACACAAACATACGCGTGCTCGCTCGCTCGGGAGTAGGGAGCGCCCGCTCACTTCCAAAATGAAACCAGTTACCGACCGCTCCCGCGCTTTATTCGAAAATTTATTCCCACGCCACAAGAAATCTGGTCAGGTCCTGGGAATGCAGACCTCTAGCTTAGTCCCTTATTTATCAAGAGGCTCCACAGCGGAATGAACTGCCAGCTATTCTGGTATATGTATTACACAGTGGATGCCCTTCCAGCCTCAACCCAGTACTGGGAAACACCCATTCACATGCACACTCATACACTACAGCTAATTTAGTTTACTCAATTCACCTATAGCGCATACAGGACTGTGGGGGACACTAGAGCACCCGGAGGAAACCCACACCAACACGAGAACATGCAAACTCCACACAGAAATGCCAACTGACCTAGCCATCGCTCAAACCAGCAACCTTCTTGCTGTGAGGGGACAGTGCTAACACACTCGAGTTTGCATGTTCTCCCCGTGTTGGCGTGGGTTTCCTTCGGGTGTTCCAGTTCCCCCCCCAGGCCAAACACATGCGCTATAGGTGAATTGAATCAACCAAATTGGCCGTATGAGTGTGAATGAGAGTACGGATGTTTCCCAGTACTGGGCTGCAGCTGGAAGGGCATCTGCTGTGTAAAACATGTGCTGGACAAATTGGCGGTTCATTCCGCTGTGGCGACCCCTGATGAATAAAGGGAGGCCGAAGGAAAATGAATGAATGAAAATTACTAATTTGTTCAATTAAATAATTAATTAATTAAACCCTGCATTCAGTGTGATTATATGTTTAGTTTTACAATTTGACGTAATATCATCTAAAGTATAAACTGAGATAGTTGGTAATATTTTGTAATTAAAAACAGTTCTAAAACAATTATACTTTTCAATCCTAAAGCAAAGATTTTCCCCATAGACGTCCACTTCATCACTGTACACACAGTGCTTTCACAAACATAATTGTGTTGTGTGTTAATACCTGAAGCACAGATGTAGAACTTGAACCCGGAACATTCCGTTAACGCTGTTTCTTCCTGAAGGCCAACAACATGAAAAACTCCAACCCTTTTACGAAAATAGCACATGCCACACATATATACAATGACCACTTCATTCATTCAGCTACACAATCTGCGTTATGAAACATGCATGTCTCAGCTAAAATATCTCTATGTGTCGTATATTCTGTAAGACAATAGGGTGTTACAATTAGGGTATGATTTAAAGTTAATTAACCATATGATCTAAGGGGTTGTTGGAAAAATGAGATAAACGGCGCTCACATTTAACCCTCATGTTCTGGCACAAGCTTATTTTTTTATAATTAATTCATTGTCTTCCATATATTTTGAACATCAGTATATTGTTTTATATCAGACTGCTGCTCATTATCTTGTACAGTAATGTTTCTGACTGTTTGGGGTCAATCTGTTAATAAAAACAGTTTGGGTTCGAATAAAACATAACATTTTTGTTTTATTATACACTCAAAAAAACTATTTTTGCTGCTTGTTCAAACTACTTATTTAAAATGAGCTGAATCAACACAACTCTTGAGTTTTTTTTGAGACAATTGTTTTTTTTTTTTTGATTGAACATGAAAACATTAAGTTAACTTAATCATTTGTAAAAGAATTGTGTAAAACCTATAGCATTGGTTTACAATGTATAGATGTCTGATGACACTTCACTTCCAAATTTCCAATTAACATGATCCTTTAGAGCAGGGATGTCCAAACTCGGTTCTGGAGGGCCAGTGTCCTGCATAGTTTAGCTCCAACTTCCTTTAACACACCTGCCTGGATGTTTTTAGTATACCTAGAAAAAGCTTGATTAGCTGATTCAGGTGTGGTTAATTGGGGTTGAAACTAAAATATGAAGGACACCGGCCCTCTAGGACCTGAGTTTCGACACCCCTGCTTTAGAGCATTTGTCTAAAGAAAATGACAATTGGTCGGAATAAAAAATGATTGTTAAGATTGAAAATCAGGATTATTTCTTCAAATACTGATTTCTTCTAAAGCTAAAACATTGTTATGTTAAATATGTCTGAAATAAGCTGGCACGGTGGCCTCCGTGCACTGTCGCCTCACAGCAAGAAGGTCACTGGGTCAAGTCCCGACTGGACCAATTGGCACTTCTAAAGGGAGTTTGCATGTTCTCCCCATGCTGTAATGGGTTTCTTCTAGGTTCTTCGGTTTCCCTCACAGTCCAAAGTTGGCAACATAGGTGAATTGGATGAACTAAACCGGCCATAGTGTATGAACAGGCCCATAGCCAGACCCGGAAGACCCACCCCTTACTGACAAATGTCCAGAATTTGTCCCATACATGACCTCATTGGTCCTGTTTTGACAGCTATGCCATCATAAATAGTCAAAATAACCCTTTGAAAAAGAACAAGCAGAGTCCTGGTGTGACTTCAGTTAATCAGTTTTGGCCAAATCAAACAATTATTTTTCATGAGTCCAACATCCAGCTGGGCAAAAAAACATCTGACATAAGTGAGGTCATCTTTCGCTACTGTATTGTTTTTAAATAAAGGAAACATTTGACAAATAATTTTATTCTAAATTTTGAACCTTATTCTTGAAAGAAAACATGACCAAGCTAAAAGGTGTGAAGCTCTTTTATAAGAAAGGCTAGAAAACTGTGAAGCTCTAAATTATTATCATTATTATTATGAATTAATATTATTATGTTTGAATTTTGTATTACTCAAATGGCCAAATTCTTACTGTGGAAAGTTGGATGTGCTGGCCAGTTTGTTATTTGCCTAATTAATGACAATAGGCAACAGTTTTTTCATTTAAAGCTTTTTCCATTGATATATGATGCAATACATTTGTATTTTAAAAATAAATGTCATATTCTTAATATTTAGGAAACAGGTTTGCTACATCAAAAAGTGTGGTTATGATAACCATAACACAAGCTATTTCAGCTAAAAATAGAGCTTAAAATGTCACCTAAATGCAGTATTTAAATCTCATAATTGAGTAAAAAAATGAGGCGAATAACTGCAAATAGGTTTACTTTTTGATAGAAAAATTCACCCCTTTCACCAGGCTGGCTACGGGCCCATTGCGTGTGAGTGAGTGGGTATGGGTGTTTCCCAGTACTGGGAAGGGCATCTGCTGCATAAAACATTTGCTGGAATAGTTGGTGGTTCATTCCGCTATTGTGAGCTCTGATAAATCAGAGGCTAAGCTGAAGAAAAGTGAATGAATGAATGTGTGAAATAACTGAACATAATGAACATTTTTACGTTAAATTTGAAATAAAGTCATCAGTAGAATTTGAATAAAACAAAAACACTATTTTACTCAAACACATAACTTGATCATGAATAAATCCAGAGAATGGTCTCTTCATTTTTTCCTTGAACTGCATTTTGTGCTCAGTTTCAGTCATTTTTGTTTCTGAATATTTTTCTTCTCCACGTGTATGGGCTTCATGTTCTACGATCTCATATTATAGTCAAATACAGTGTTTCCCAACCCTGTTCCTGGAGGCACACCAACAGTACATATTTTGGATGTGTCCCTCATCTGACCCATTCATTTCAGGTTTTGGAGTCTCTTCTAATGCTCTGATGATTGATTTAGGTGTGTTTGACTAGAAAGAGGTTGAAAATGTGTACTGTAGGTGTGCCTTTAGGAACAGGATTGGGAAACACTGGTCAAATATGACACTCACTAATCATTCATTCATTTATTCATTTTCCTGTCGGCTTAGTTCCTTTATTAATCCAGGGTCGCCACAGCGGAATGAACCGCCAACTTATCCAGCACATTTTTACACAACGGATGCCCTTCCAGCCACAACCCATCTCTGGGAAACATCCACACACACGTTCACACACACACACATAAACTACGGACAATTTAGCCTACCCAATTCAGCTGTACCACATGTCTTTGGACTGTGGGGGAAACCGGAGCACCCGGAGGAAACACATGCGAACGCAGGGAAAACATGCAAACTCCACACAGAAACGCCAACTGAGCCGAAGATACTCACTAATAATTTAAAAAAAAATGTTTCTGACATACTGCAGGCTTTACAAAGCACATGAGGGTTAAACCTGCGCCATCGTGTGCAGTAATTATATTCCACGATGCAACATGGATTCTGTGATGGAGTTTTCACGTAAAACGTCACAAATATCGATGTGCGTGACGAACACTAACAAAAGTTCCCCAATCAATATGATCAGGCAAGGAAACATCAGTTCCATCAGAAACACATTTGCATACTTTTGCCTACGCCTCCCTCGTCCAATCAGAAAAAAAGAGGCGGATCGGGAAAGCGGGCGACTAGGCAAGCGAATCATCATTTCCCGGATCCCTAGTGCTGGCCATTCTGACCAAGACCTTCTTCCTGAGTGGACTGTGCGCTGCGTCTCCCGCAAACCCAGAGCGGCTCTCGTGGGCAATCGAGTGCGTGGACTGGTCACTATCCGAAAGCAGCTCTGACAGGCTGCTCAGGGAACTAACATCCGATTGGTCAAAGGAGAACTGTGGGAGGGGCAAACGACTAGGCAAATGAGGCTCGTCCTGGACGTCCGGAAGATCTAAGGACTCACGTGGAAGAGCCGAGTCAAATGATGGAGTCCGTCGCCGCAGGACTGAGGAGCACTCCTGACTGACAACCTCAGATTCAGCGGGAGGCTCAATGGAGATGCACGGCGGACTCATTTTATCCTTTTTGGGCGTATGGGATGATGATGATGATGATGATGATGGATCCTGTTGAAGACGTAACTCCTCTCCGTGCGTCGAGTGTCGTCGTGGGATTTGGGGTTGAGATAGGAAGCCATTGTTTTCCATGCTGTTGTACTTCCGTAGACTAGTATCCTGATGGCGGGGCGCTCCAACATGCAATGAATCCTGAGACTGGGTGTCGGAAGAGAGGGATGGGTGGTGAGGGGACAAACTGTGGCGGGACGCTCTTCTGTTGGTGTTGAGTCGGACAGCCGCATCTGGATGTGGTTTGATGGCAGTTTGTCGGCAGGGGATGCTGCGCTGGCTGTACACATGTCTGTTTGTTTGTACGCTGGCGGTCCGGTTGCGGAGGGGAGGAGGAGGGGAGGTCTGGGGTGAACAGGGGGCTGATCTGCCGCCGATGGGAACGCTGGGGACTTTGAGATGAAGATTATCGCTTGAGCAGGGCTTGCTGGGGATTTGTAAGGCGTCTCTGGAGTCAGCGTAGGTGGAGTCAATGGAATCGCTCTTTATTGCTTGCTGCAAGTTTGGAATAGAAATATATGCATTCAAAATTGGTTCATTATACACATTCACTTGTAATATTTTGTTTTAGAGTCAGATTATAAAGATAAAGTGTTGTGCAAAAAGTTTTAGGCCACTAGTATTTTCACCAAGAAAAGGTTTAAAGTCAGTTGTTTCTACATTTTTCTGTGGCATGTCAGTTTGAAATATTAAATGACATTTCCATTTACATCGGTTTTTAAAGTTCAAGTTCATTTATTTATAGAGCACATTTAAAAACCATCACAAGACTGACCAAAGTGCTGTACATAAGTCAAATAAAAAGACATTAAAAGAAAAAAAAAACATAAAATAAGCCAAAGTTCTTCTGGATATAGTTTGTCTCAGTTTGTTCTGTTTTTTCATGCTAGACAGACTGGACAATGATCAGATCAGATCTCTGTGTGGAGCACTGGCTGTTGTCAGACAATGATTTCACTGTATATTTACAATTAATGACAAAAATAATGTCTGGAAATGTAAATTAATATTTCAAACTAGCATGCTACAGAAAAATATAGAAATAACCTTAACCGACTTTAAACCATTTTTAAATAATTTTTTTAAATGAAAATAGTAGTGGTCTAAGACTTTTGCATAGTACTGTATAAATATATAAATCTTCTATGAACTCTGAATTCTTTTTCAAATATTTCCCAAGTGCTTTTTAATGGAGAAGAAATGTATTCAACAATTTTTTAACATAATGGTAAATAACTAATTTCGGTCACACTTTATTTTAAAGCACAATTCACGCAATTAAAAACCGGCCCCACTTTATATTAAGTGTTCTTAACTAATATGCTCACTGAAATGTATCATTTATTACAATGTAATTATTGTGTAAATACATGATTTTATGTTGATCAAATACCAGCATATAATTACATCAGTAATCAATTTCTGTAATCACATCTATAATTATAATGACACCCTTTACATCTTAACCCACCCTTAAACTTACCCATACAACCAGACCCATAGTATCCTGAAATCTACCCATATCCCACCTTAAGAGCAACAGAAAGTACACTAAACTTATTTTATGATTCAATTACATAGTATTTAAGGCCACTTAAGACCAAAAATAAGATCATATTTTATAAGTGCTAATAAACAGATATTATCTTAATAATAGGAAGATAATAAGCCAGTAGTAAATGGTGTGAATTGTTACTTAAACTAAAGTGTTACTCTAATATCTAAAAAAAACTATTTATTTTGTCTTTTCCATGATGACAGCACATATCATTTCACTTGCAAGATACTAGTACTCAGCTTAAAGTGCACTTCTATTATTGGCATAACCACGGTAATGAATTTCAAAACATTTTACAGCATTAATGCAATTAGAGCAGAATATGTTTGTGTAAAATCTGATGTTCCTGTTGCTCAGCCTGATTTAAGAACGATGCAATGAAAGTAAGAACATTCACAATTTTGTACAAATGTAAATGTTATCAGCAGATTTTGCATTTTGTTTTAACTGCCAGCTGTCTAAATGATTGAATCTAACGTTGTCTCTAATATAAACACACAGTCCTCATTGCAGTACCTGTCTCCGCAGGCCTCTGAAGGCATTGCTAGTTCTTGCTCTTTGATTTAGAGGACGAGGAGCGGGAACAGAGGCCAGGCTTGTCTGAGACGCAGCTCCAGGAACCTGCATTACTGCACTGTCTTCACTGGGCTGTGTGCCGAGAGACAGAGACGAGCCTGAAGAACACACAAGCTGCTTTAAATCACATTCTTTCTCTAAGCGTGAGGCATGAACAGAACAGACTGGCTTGGGTTTGTCACCTGGCAGTGTACAGTCCTGTTTGGAGGATCTCTCATGAATGGACCCATATAGCGGCTTAATAGGATACAGCATGTAGCTGTCATTTGGTAAGGACAGCATGCGTGATATAGACGGCCTCCCGACAGTCAGGAAGTTGCCATAATTGGGATCTTTTCCCTGCAAAAATAACAAATGATTATGATAAGGCTGCTGTAGCTATAATGCTTTCTGCCCCATCTTAAAAACAAACTTGAAGACACTGGAACGCTTTAAAACATGCAAAGATATTTATTATGCAAAGCCTATCTATAATAACATCAATAATGTGGTCAGTGCATATTGTATATATAGTATTATAAAGACTGTTAAGACAAACTGAAAAATAATAAGTGTAATAAGTGTGAGTTTTTGATACATTTCTTTACAGTAACTTTGTTAAACTTTACATGTACATACAGTAAATGACACTCACCGGCCACTTTATTAGGTACACCTGTTCAACTGTTTGTTTACGCAAATTTCTAATCAGCCAATCTCTTGGCAGCAACTCAATCCATTTAGGCATGTAGACATGGTCAAGACAATCTGCTGCAGTTCAAACCGAGCATCAGAATGGAGAAGAAAGGTGATTTAAGTGACATATGGTTGTTGGTGCCAGATGGGCTGGTCTGAGTATTTCAGAAACTGTTGATCTACCGGATTGTCACGCACAACCATCTCTAGGATTTACAGAGAATGGTCAGAAAAAGAGAAAATATCCAGTGGCAGTTCTGTGGGTACAAATGCTTTGTTGATGCTAGAGTTCAAAAGGAGAATGGCCAGACTGGTTTAGGCTGATAGAAAGGCAACAGTAACTCAAATAACCACTTGTTACAACTGAGGTCTGCAGAAGAGCATCTCTGAACACCCAACATGTTGAACCTTGGGGCTGATGGAATACAGCAGCACAAGACCACACCGGGTGCCACTCCTGTCAGCTAAAAACAGGAAACCGAGGCTACAATTCACACAGGCTCACCAAAACTGGACAATGGAAGACTGGAAAAATGTTGCCTGGTCTGATGAGTCTCAATTTCTGCTGCAACATTCGGATGTTAGATTCAGAATTTGGCGTCAACAACATGAAAGCATGGATCCATCCTACCTTGTATCAGCAGTTCAGGCTGGTGGTGGTGTAACGTTATGGGGGATGTTTTCTTGGCACACTTTGGGCCCATTAGCAACAATTGAGCATCGTGTCAACACCACAGCCTACCTGAGTATTGTTGCTGACCATGTCCATTCCTTTATGACCACAGTGTATCCATCTTCTGATGGCTACTTTCATCAGGATAACGCGTCATGTCAAATCGCGAATCATCTCAGACTGGTTACTTAAACATTGCAATGAGTTCTCTGTACTCAAATGGCCTCCACAGTCACCATATCTCAATCTATTAGAGCAGCTTTGGGATGTGATGGAATGGGAGATTCACATGATGGATGTGCAGCTGACAAATCTGCTGCAACTGCGTGTTGCTATTATGTCAATATGGACCAAATATCAGGAATATTTTCAGTACCTTGTTGAATCTACACCACAAAGGATTAAGGCAGTTCTGAAGACAAATAGGGGTCCAACCCGGTACTAGTAAGGTGTACCTAATAAAGTGGCCGGTGAGTGTATGTGTTATTATATAGAACAATTTTAAATCAAACAATTTTATCACACACAAACATTATGTCCCTATGATATTTATTTTTAAATGTTGTATTTTGTGCAATTTTTCAAAGTACTAGACAATTTTTACATCTAAATTTTAGATAATTTAATTGGAATAGAAACATTCTATTCTACTTCACAACATGACACCTTCCTACATTTCCGACTGTTAATCAAAATATAACCCAAACCATTTGCTACGCTCTGCTAGCGCTGGACTTTTAGAACTTTTTCTCTGCAAACCTGATGCGATCTGGCGGCACTTCTTTTAGCCATTATGCTCCAAATGTTTGGAACTGTCTCCCTCTTGAAGAGAAAGAATCCCCTAGTATTCATGTTTTTAAAAAGCGTGTTAAGACACATCTTTTTAAAATTGCGTATGAATACACAAGCTATTAAGGTGTATGCATTTTATCTATATTGTTGTAGGTTTATGTGTATGTGTGTATGTGTGCTTGCATATATAAGGACTATTGTGTGCATGATCATGTGGATATATGCTTATATTTTATGTGCATGAATGCTTTTATCTGAGTATGTGACAAGTTTATGTGGTCTATTTTAATGCTTTTTTGTTGTTGTTTGTGAGGCACTTTGAGTTGCATGTATGTTGGAAAAGTGCAATACAAATAAAATGTATTATCATTATTATTCTTTTTTCAATTACAGTATTATATTTAAGTTAAAATGTGGCTAGAGTATTTAAAATTTAATGCATGGAATGTAATTTAATGCTATCTAAAAGCTGTAGATTTCTCTGTTGGTCTAAATATTTTCACAAGTACTTAGGGTTTAATATTTTGAGATATTTATAAATTGCTAATGCAGGGTTTCTAGGGGTTTCTCCAAGTCAAGTTGAATACTTTTTAAGACACTTTAAGACCATTATGAATGAAATTCTAGACTTTTATAGGGCTAAAACACTAAGCGTTTTTTCTAATAGCCCAGTTAGTTCTGTAATAGGTTCCGTATTTATGGAAGATCATGTAAAGGGATGAGTTGCTTTAGTTTTCTTTCCCTGATTAAGAAATTAAATTTTCAGAATTTTCTATAAAAATATCTAACAGCGGTTTTTGTATCTTTTTGCAATAAAATGTATTTATATATAAAAAGGTTTGATGGATTATTGGTTAGTGGGTTTCGGCCCGATTGGGTATAGGAATATAGGAAAATTAAGACCTGTTTAAAATAATTTTAGGCCTACAACACTATATTTTAGCAAACATAAGAGTTTTTAAGACCCTGCGAACACTTATATGTTTATACAATATGTTTATTTGTAGATTGTATCCCCCAAAATTAGAAATTTCTCTTTCATTTCCAAATTCAACTTACCTGATCATGTGAGAGTGTCTCTATTTTAGCATCTGTTCCCTCAAGCCCTGCGGCTCCTCCCACAGAGGCGGTGCTTTGTCTGCGGCCTGCCTCAAGCTCCAGCTTCAACTCTGCATCCATCTCCGCCTCCTCGCGGGCGTCTATATTACTCTCCTCCAAATGTTTCATGAGCACAGCGACCACCACATTCACCAGCACAAACTGAGCCATCAGCACAAACGTCACGAAGTACAGAGGCGACAAAAGCGGGAGATAGCTCAGACATTTGTCATTTTTACATTCCCGCAGGGTATCCTAGACAAACACACACAGATACACAAACAAGCGGCGTTATTTCAGGCTTAAAAAGTGATGATAATCATTCTGGCAACCTGTGGCTCATAAACATCTGAGTTTTGGGTTTTTAGTGACATTAGGGAGATTTTAATTTAGCTTAAATTCTCAGTTCACCCAAAACATTTCATTAACTCTACCTCATGTGGTTTTAACCTTTAAGAGTTTCTTTCTTCTGTTGAATATTGATGTTTAATCTTAGCTCTTAAAGGGATAGTTCCAACCCAGGCTTATTATTGATATGTACCCCTATAAACATTTCTGGATATCGTGAAATACTTCCCAGGAGGTATGCTTTTCCCAGTTTTTGTTTTTCACGAATCCACCAGAGGCTGCTGTGTACGCTTTTTTAGATCTCAAATTTTCATTCGCGCCTGCTGTTCTCGCATAAATCCACCAGAGGCCGCTGTCGACTGACTGACTGACCGACCGACTTTTTTGCTTTTATTTTACCTGCTTTCTGGAATTATTCTTTGCCAGACTCGAACTCCATAATTGTGGTCAACTCTTCTCTGCGTCTCAAGTCTGCCAACATACATGGTGAGCTACTGGGCAAAATGGTAACAGCTGAGAAGTCATCCACACGGAGGTAAGAGGTCATGTGGTAGCATGAAAAGAAACAGAAGCCATCTGCGGCATGATACCGCCCGGTAGCATTCGTTTTAAAGACTAAATGCAGCCATACATAGCTCAGGCTACATAATTCACACTCTCAAAAATTGTATGCAGGGGTACGTTTTCCCCATGAGCCGTGTTTTGCATAGTTCACCCAAAAATGAAATATCTGCAATCATTTACTCATTGTCCGCTCATTCAACACCCATTTAAATATCTGCCTTCTGTTGAAAACAAAAGAAGGTATTTTAAAGAGTGATGGTTGATGGCACTAACTGTCTTCCATAGTAGGAAAAAAAATACAATGGAAGACAATGAGTTTTCTATCATTTTTCACAGTATCTTCTTTTGTTTTTAACAGAAGAAAGATACTTAAATAGGTTTTGAACAAGTGAACAATAAGTAAATGATGGTAGAGGTTTACTTTTTGGGTGAACTATCCCTTTAAGAGCTTGGATAAAACATTCTTAATCAACCCAGGCTTATTGCGAATACTTACCCAGGTCTACATTTCTAGGGACAGTGAAATACGTAACCTTAGGTACGTTTGCTTGGAGTTTTTGTTTTTGCAAATCCAAGCGCAAAATACACTTCAGCCGACGAGGCCAGCTTGCTGTGGACTGAATGGCTGACCCATGACTGATCCACCCACCCCCTTCCCTAAACCCAACCGATAGTGTTTTCAAAATCAATTTAGTAAAAGAAAAGCTGTGACTTCACCACGTTTTCAGTCTGTTGTTTGTATCTATTTATTTTTTGCTTTTGTTTTACCTTGTTTCTGGAACTGTTCTTTGCCTGATTTGAACCCCATCGTCGTGGTCAACTCTGCTGTGCATTCCAAGTCTGAAGATGTATGGAGCGAGCTACTGGGCAAACTGGTAGCACCAGAAAAGCCGTTCATACAGAGGAAAATGGTCAGCTGGTAGAGCTAAAATGAACAGAATCTGAATGTGGCATCATACTATGCCGTAGCATTCGTTTGAAAGATGAAATGCAGCCAGACATACCTTTGGCTACATCATTTGCAGTGTCCAGAAATGTAGACAGGGGCACATATTTACAATAAGCCTGTGTTGGTCTAATTTGTAAGATGCAGGATGAGTGATGTCACAATTTGGCAAATACCTTCATGATGCCGTTCCAGTTGTCTCCGGTGGAAACACGGAAGAGAGTAAGGAAAGCCATGCCGAAGTTCTGAAATGTGGCATGTCTGCTCAAACCCTCACAGGGGTTCTCCTCAGTGCAATCTGAATCAAAGTTAATGAATTTAATAATTCATATCTCAAAACACTGCGCAAAAAATAACTACACTATACAATATAAAGCACTTATATATTGATGTAAAAATGCATTAAATTTATTTAATGCCTATAAAATCCATTTGAGTTTTTCTAAAATGTTTCATTTAATTACCGCACTGTTTTAAATAAATATATATTCTGCACTTTATTTTATATACAGTTAAAGTCAGAATTATTAGCCCCCCTGAATTATTAGCCCCCCTGAATTATTACCCCCCTGTTTATTTTTTCCCCCAATTTCTGTTTAATAGAGAGAAGATTTTGTCAACACATTTCTAACTATAATAGTTTTAATAACTCATTTCTAATAACTGATTGATTTTATCTTTGTCATGATGACAGTAAATAATATTTGACTAGATATTTATCAAGACACTTCTATACAGCTTAAAGTGATTTTAAAAGCTTAACCAGGTTAATTAGGTCGACTAGGGAGGTTAGGGTAATTAGGCAAGTTATTGTATAGCGATGGTTTGTTCTGTAGACAATCTGGAAAAAATAGCTTAAAGGGGCTAATAATTTTGTCCTTAAAATGACTTTTAAAAAAATTAAAAACTGCTTTTATTCTAGCCGAAATAAAACAAATAAGACTTTTTCCAGAAGAAAAAATATTATCAGACATAGTGTGAAAATTTCCTTGCTCTGTTAAACATAATTTGAGAAATATTTAAAAAAGAAAAAAATATTTAAAGGGGGGCTAAAGGGGACTTCAACTGTATGTTTAAATAAAAGTCCAAAAACTAATATCTAATTATGAAAATTAGTTTTTTCGCAAGTTCTGTCCTATTCCTAAAAAAAAAAAAAAACAACAAAGAACAATTGTGTAACTGTGTAAAATGCAGCTTTAATTATTATTTTGTATTACTTTGAAAAATGCTACCGTAAAAATGTTCGTCTATACTTCTGCCATAATTACTTGAGTTTCTTTGTGTACACAGACAACAGTTTCTCTCACATTATACACCAAAATGCTGGTGATGGTTTAGCTCTGATTCCTGATGGAAATGATCTGCTTATATATAGTGATACAGGAGACAATGTAAAAACCATGAGCGTTATGTGTGCTTGATGTGTATGTGTGTATTAAACAAAGCCAGAATATGCAAGAACAATGCCGACTTTATAGTTAAATGGCCTTTTGTGTTTTCAGAGTAATACAGTAGTTTACATTGCAGATTTGGTTAAATTTGAGGTGTACAGTGCTACTTTTGAAGTATTTAAAAGTGTAGCAAATTATCAGACATTCCACATAATCATTTAGCTTTTTTACTGGATCGGTTCACATTTTCTGTATTGTGTTAAACAGAGCCCCCAGCTTTGCCATCAGAGGAACCTAAATATTATTTAAAATCTTCTTGATCAAAAAGTTTTGAAATGTAGTGTATAATAAAAGAAAAGTAAAGTCCTACCAAGTTTGCCGAAGAGTTCGACTCCCAGTGCCGCATAGATGAAGAACAGCAGCATAAAGAGCAGACCCAGATTACCAACCTGCACAGAGAACGACAGCAGAATAAAGTCTTGTTTATATCATCTCAAGTCATATACTATACAGTCAGTTTAGGGCAGGGGTCACCAACCTTTTGAAAACTGAGAGCTACTTCTTGGGTATCGTTTAATGTAAAGGGCTACCAGTTTGATACACACTTCCTAATAACAAATTTGCTCAATTTACTTTTAATTATATGTTATTAATAATTAAATGTGAAGACACTGATCATGTTAATGAAAACAGATAAATATCAACCAATGCAAGTGTGATTAAAAAAGAATAGCTACAAAAATATTAAATGCAGCTTACTGGTATGTGGTGCTATGGTAAGCTAATTTTATAACAGGCCCACGGGCAACTCATGTTGGTGACCCCTAGTTTAGGGAGTAAAAAAGTACAAAGTAACTAGTTACTGTATTTAGATTACGTTCCACTTGTAAAATTAACATAATGGATTACTCTTAAATACAGTAAAGAAATTCAACCCTTGCATTTAGAGGAAATATACTGTATTTTTTTGTTATTGTAATATATTTAGCAAAATATTAATTCATTCAATTTCTTTTTAGCTTAGTCCCTTTATTAATCCGGGGTCACCACAGCGGAATGAACTGCCAACTTTTCCAGCACGTTCTTTTACGTAGCGGGTGCCCTTCCAGCCGCAACCCATCTCTGGGAAACATCCACACACACACTCATACACTACGGACAATTTAGCCTACCCAATTCACCTGTACCGCATGTATTTGGACTTTGGGGGAAACCGGAGCACCCGAAGGAAACCCACGCGAACGCAGGGAAAACATGCAAACTCCACACAGAAATGCAGAGGCTCGAACCAGCGACCTTCTTGCTGTGAGGCGACAGCACTACCTACTGCGCAACTGCGTCGCTTTAGTTAAATATATATCACTATTTTTCAAATAAAAAAGGTTACATTCATCAGGAGACTGAACATGCTTAAAAAATAAGTCAGAAATTGTTTATAGTATATGGTATGTATGAACTATAGTGTTATTACTTTGATATGTTTTGTGTTGATTCATACAATGTTCACTTTTGAATAAAATTAAAGGTTCTGTTTAGCTCAAATTTTAATTATTAAAAGTTTAATAAAAAAAAAAAGATTTTATGGACTTTAAGAACTACTGAGTCAAGTAACTTAATTCCTTAGTACTACTTAGAGTAATTAAGTTACTTTTCAGACAATGTAATTAAATAAGTAAATACAATTTTAATAATGTAATTAGTAGTTAATGACTTTTTTGAAGTAGTTTACCCAACAATGTGTTACACAAAACATAAGAAATGCTGACCTGCGGTAAAGCTTGAACTACTGTATCCAGAAGTGCTCTCATTCCTGTGGCCATCTTCAAGAGCTTCAACACTGAAAGGAAAATTCATACCACAAATCTCATAGTAACTAAAGGCTTTTAAAAGGAGACTATTACACCTCTTTTTTGTAATGAAAAAAAAAATATATACATTTCCTTAAAAACTACTTTTGTAGCATTTTAAATATATTTACTGTCACTTTTGATCAATGCATCCTTGTGAATTAGAATGATTTATTTATAACAAACGAATAAAAGAGACTGCCTAGCATATACGAGTACACCCCTCATAGATCTCTCTTTCAAATAAATATTTCCTTTAGGAAGCTTTACAATATTATATTGTGCATATACATTAGATTAGTCAGTACCAAAGACAAATCTAGAGCTAACAAAATAACTTAAGATAACAGTCCAAAAATGAGTACACCTAAATGAATAGGTTATGGAAAAATAGAGCAATTTAAAAAAAATCATGAGGAATAAAATCTATCAAATTTTGTAGTTTGTCATTTTTCTTTTTGCACTATTTAGTTTGATTTTAAATATATTATCGTTTCATTACTAAATATGTTAGTGAATATTATATATATATATATATATATATATATATATATATATATATATATATATATATATATATATATATATATATATATATGTTTTGTTTAAATGCACCAAAAATATGATCTATATTGACTAAGACATGGATAAAAATAATCATTTTCAAAATGAGGTGTACTCAATAACGCTGAGCGCTGTTTATCTCACTGACTTCAAACTAAATAAAATGAATAAACCATCTGTAAATTTACCCTTACAATAAGAGGTGCTAGGAAAACTGAAACCCTCTTTGCTGTCTTGACACATCTTATATCCTGCAGTATTTCCCCATCTTCAGGGTCATGTATTTATTACCTCTGGCGATCCGCAGCACCCTCATGATGCGGATGATGGTCGGGTTGATGGGTAGAGAAGCATTCAGGTCAATTTCCTCAAGCGTGATGCCCATGATGGAGAGAAGAACAATGGCCAAGTCTAACTGATTCCACCTGACAGAAAAAGACAGAATTAGATAAAGACAAATACTGTTCTTTGCAAGCTTAAAGGCGCACTGAAGATGGAACAACGTTAGCACCTAATATTTTTCATTTAAAAAGAGAAAAGCTTTTAATTTAGGCACCTTTCTGGCTATTTTTCACCCTCACATGATGTCACAGCAGTGTCTCATTACTATTCATGAGTCTACATGGCCTTATCCTATGAGGAGGCCTTGTTTCATTATTATTCATGACACCATGTGACCTTTCTTTATGATAGGCACTTCAAATAGCGAGTTGATAGGATATTAGAACATGGTCGCAAGTTTTTTTGTGTCTGTATAGTGTGAGATGCTGACAGAGTGACAGGCTTTCAATAAGTGACAGACATGTTTGAAGTATTTGCGTGCAACAATCTTTAGGAGGTTTCATAGATTCACTGAGGCTCATTTCGATGAGCTTGACACTGATAGTGTTGCATCCAAGTGTGCCGCAAGCCTGCGTTTGAGTGAAGGTCTCGGCCGTTAGATCGCCCCCTGGGGGCTGGCTGCAGTACAAGTCATAAAGCCCGTCTCCTCCGTGTTAATGAAGGAGACTTGAGCCCAAATAAAAAAAAATATTACACTTACAATAAAATGTCCCGAAAGATGGTTCTGGTCGATTAAGGCACTGGTTATTGTGCTGAAATAGGTGCAGATCTTCATTTTTGTAAACAGTTTGTTTTTAGCAGTAATTTAATGCTGGGCGTGTCATCGTGATTGACTCACTACCCGATTCCAGCCCGAGTCAATCGAGCCAGATGCGGCGGCCGAGCGAGCCGGCGCTGCCGCATGCGAGCCGGAATCAGCCCGCGACGCCGCGAGTAGGTTATGCGCTGCGGTCCGGAGCTGGTGCGATTGAATATATAAAACCCTCATATTTGTTAACGTTATTACATCCATCTGTGTTAATATGACAGCAAACACATGCTGAGAAGTTCGGGGGGCGTGGTTGATTTTACATAAAGCGTTTGGTTGGAAGCTAGACTCCGCTCATTTTCGCGGCTCCTCCTCTGGCTCCATCAGACAGTCCTTCTGCGCATGTCAAGGCTCCAATTTCAGCAGTCTTTTGCGACAGTTTGTGCCCGTCAAGCAGGCGTTTTGCCCTCAAGGCGTTCAATGGGAAAAAGGGCTGTCGCATCGTCCATATTTTTTACAGTCATTGGTTGCATCACAGATACCATCAGTCCTTACTTTCAGATCAGACCACTTGTAAATGTAAACCAGCATCAATAAAAAGAAAGAAAAAGAAAGAAAAAGAAAGCTGTAAAATATTTTTGATGCTAAAGCACATTTGCATATATTGTTTGATTCAGATTGCAAATGCAAAACATTTTATATAAACCCAAAATCAGACAAAAAGGGTTTTGGGGTGGTTAATGTGTTGGTGCTCTTTGCATAAGGAATTTAAAAAGACAAACAACAAAATCATCAGTCCAAGGCAGTCGGAAAGTATGTGAAAAATTTAAAAACGATTTACTAATATGGCTATAATTTAAAAAATTATTAAATAATAGCCATGTTAATAAAGGCTTTTAAATTTGCCTTGGACTGATGATTTCTTTGCAAATCGTTTCTATATTTAGATGTGATGAAGAAGGCATGGAGGAAGTGGTTTTTACATTTATGTAGAAAATAATATTAAAAAAAATATTTTAGTAAGTAACGCGCTCTGCACTGGATTTCAGACCTGCTTTCAGCTGGTCTATTGAGCAGTCTATTTTATTTCCTCAAAATAGCAACGTGCCAACAATGCGCCTTAACACTAGGGGTGTCAAAATTAATCGTTTCTTCGGTGCACCGCGATGCAGACGCGGACAATTCGGTATCGGTTCAATAATAATCATAACCGGTTATTACTGACGTCATTTACCTCATATGCGCTCTGTTGCGAGGGAGGCGATCGCGAGTATTTACAACACTGTAACTACTTAAAACTCATAAACTGTGCACAATTTTACTGTGTGTGTTTGCTGGATCAGTCTTTCACTGACATATACAACAAAAGCTCCTATTTCACTGAGATTGAGAGAATGAAAGTACTCCATTTCTCTCTCTCTCTTTCTCTTTCTCTCGCTCTCTCATACACACACACACACACACACACACACACACACACACAAACACAAACACACAGTGGCCCATTTGACCTGCTGGCGTGGCTTTTCTTCTCCTCTCAGCTGTTTTACAGCGTTACTTCTGGATAAAGAAACGAGCGCGTGTCTGCAGAGTTTTCTCCGCCGTGTCTATCATACATCAGCTGTGATTGCCGCTGCCGCCTGCTGCTTATCAGTGTCACTCATCTGTGAAGAGCGCAGCGCACAAGAGCCAGTCGCAACCGTTTTTGTTGAGGGTGTGACCAATAAAAGAGGTGTAAGAGAACTAGACAAGGATCAGAAAGTGAGCTGGATATTTATATTTGTTTATATTATTTGCTTAATGCTCGTTTTGTTTAAAGTTACAGTTTATTTATCTGACTGTTTGTATTAAACGACAAAATTGAATTACAAATAATATATAAATATACATATATTCATACATTTTAATACAAGAAATGCTGCTGTGAAGAAAATATAAAACTGTGTATGAATAGCACCGCCAATGCACCGTGATGCACCGAAATATCGAATTGAACCGAATCGATGGCATAATAATCGTAACCGAACTGAACAGTGAGACTAGTGTAGGTTCACAGGTCTACTTAACACAACTCTTTTCTTGACCTGAACACCCTGAACACCCAATATGAATGTAATATAATACTTGTAGTTGTTGCTTTTCCCAACACTAGAAACTGTACTGTATATTAATGCAATTAGTTATGATGAGCAATCTGTAATGCCATATGGCACAACAGAGTGACAGCTTTTATCTCCATGTGCTGAATTGTAAAAAAACAAAAAGGTATTAATCAACTTACTGTCAGGGAAAAATGCTGCATTTCTCCATAATGTCCACAAGATGGCGCCTTACCTCTCTTTGAAAAACCTCCTGAAGCCAAAGGCAACCAGTTTGAGTGCTGCCTCGATCACAAAGACCAGTGTGAAGAAATAGTTGCAGTACTTCAGACCTTCATCCAGATACTGAGAAACACAGACACACACAGTCAGAGACCTGGATTATTAAACACTGATCTTAAAATTATATATTTTTGTATGATTCAGGTGTTATTGTGTCAGTGTCATTTCAAAACAAATTTTCTTTTTGTTTAACATAAAATGCATAAAAATGTATCATAAAAAATGTAAATAAAACTAATTTAATGGTTTTAATTTTAACAGAATTATAATATATATATATATATATATATATATATATATATATTTTTTTTTTTTATTTAAGTAAATGTTTTTATTCCATTCAAATCTAAAAGATATGCATATGTATTATTTTTTATTGTAAGATTAAACAGAAAACTGATAATAAATAAAACTGATAATTTACTGTATTTGTTGTTAGGAATTTTGAAGACATTAAATTGTGAAATGTCAGAAAATGAATAATTAAGCAATAATTTACAATGCTTTTGATAGTTTATAATTATATTTTAAAAATAAGACTGTCTCTAAAAAATTATAAGAATGAATAAAACACACAACAGAATAACAGAAAGCAGAAAATACTTACAAAAATAATAACATACTAACATCTACATTAAAATGCATCAATGCAAGACATTACAGGCACTACATCTGCACTGATATGTCATAATGTGTTGACTTAAATAAAAACTCTAATATACCATTGGCATTCATTGCAATCAAACCTATTGCTAGTGTCATTGGCCTGCAGAGGTTTGTATGTATGCAAGTGTAGACCTTCTATTACTAACATTGTGGGTACCAAATGTCCCAACAAATATAGCAATATCCGTACATGTTGACCTTGTGAGAAAAGTTTTTAGTCCCCACAAGGAAAAGTTCTTATAATTCACACATTTACATTTTTTTTTACACATAAGAAAATAAAAATGCACAATGATTTCTGTTAGTTTCAACCCTGCTTCAACACACTAACAGTACCTGTATGTTTCAAACAAGCCTGAAGGACTAGTAAGGATTAGTTTGATCAAGTGTATTTAATTAGGGTTGGAACTTAACTGTGCAGAGCTGCTGTGCTTCAGGAGCTGAGTTTGACACCTATGGGTTAAGGCAGTGTTTCTTTGTCTGTCACACCTATTAAAGGTCTTTCAAGTCTCTGCTAATGAGCTGATGATAGAAACCAGTTGTGTATGGTTAAGAAGACACGGAAATGTGCAGAGCTGGTGCTCCTCCAGGAACATGGTTGAGAAACACTGGGTTCAGGGAATTTAATATACAGTTTTTACGATATAAGAATCATTATGTCTATGGGAAGTCCCCATAAAGATAGTTGTACAAGTGTGTGTGAATGGGAGAGAGAGAGATCCAACAAACCTTGGGCTGTCTGTAGTGCTCCATTGACATTGTGAGTACATTAATGGCGATGATGATGGTGATGAAGAGGTCCAGATAATGACTGGTGCAGAGTGTGTGAATATAGAGGCGTGTTGGAGAGTAGTCTGCATAGTACGGTCTCTGCAGGGCCTCTGAAAGACAGAAAACACACAGAGAGAGAACAATAGAACAACTCCACCAGGAAATATCCAGGTCATTCAGGTACACACACACTCTGAACGTCCTCGGCAAACATTTTACGCATAAAAACTGTAAAAACGCCTTTGAATCAGACACACTCAAAAAATGATGATTGTTTGTTCAAACTGCTTATTTAAAATGAGCTGAAACAATACAATTGATTAGGTTTTTTTGGGACAACTTAATTGTTTTATGTTCAATCCCAACCCAGGCTCATTGCGGATAAGTACCCAGGTCTACATTTCTGGGGACAGCGAAAAGCGTAACCGGCGGTGTGGCTGATTGCAGTTTTTGTTTTTGCAAATCCAGTAGAAGCCACTGTGTAGCTCTCAAATTTCTCTTGTGTGACCTCTTCTTGCATAAATCCACCAGAGGGCGCAATTTACACTTCAGCCAACCAGGCCAGCTTACTGTCGACTGACTGACTGACCGACCTACTCACTTCCCCTCACCATTCTCAACCGATAGCATTTTCAAAAGTAACCTAGAAAAAGAAAAAAACGTTGCAGCTGCGTGATTTTTTATTTATTTATTTAATTGTTTTGCTTTTGTTTTAGCTGCTTTCTAGAACCGCTCTTTTGATGAATGACTGGAAAAGACTAATGCAGAAGTGGCAGACCTGTATGGTGAGCCAAGCCCGGTCACAGAAATAAAGAGGAACCAGTTAAGATGGCTGGGCCACTTAGAGAGATTGCCTGAGCAAAGCTGTTAGGAACGTGTACAAGCTAAAGCCGGAAGGAAGGAGACATCCTGGCAGGCCATGGAAGAGGTAGTTAAATGACATAGAAGAAAATCTATGTAGGTGTGTGTGCTTGGAGTTATTGAGCATTGGATCGGGAGGCTGGAGGGGAGTGGTTGTAGAGGCCAAGGCTCTACAAGGACCATAGTGTCACTAGAAAAAAGAAGAAGAAGAAGGCTCTTTTGCTGGACTCAAACCCTGTCATCATGATCAACTCGGCTCCACGTTCCAAGTCCGCTGATGTATTTGGCAAGCCACTGGGAAAACTGCTGGTAGTGTAAAAAGGAACAGAAGCCATCTGAGGCATCGTAACGCCCCGTAGCAATCGTTTTAAAGATATAATACAGCCAGATGTTCCTCTGGATACATAATTTGCGCTCTCCAGAAATGTAGACAGAGGTACGTATCCACAATGAGCCTGTGTTGTTCAATCCACTTAAATTTGTAAAAGCTAATAATTTAACCAACCCAGGCTCATTCTGATTATGTACCGCTATATACATTTCTGAAGAGAGCAAAATACATCACAGGAGCTACTTTTTGGCAGTTTTGTTTTCGAGAATTCACCAAGGGCCGCTGTGTACGCTTTTTCAGATCTCAAATTACTTTCGCAAGTGCCATTCGTGACGGCTGTTCCCACGTAAATCCATCAGAGGCTGCTGTCGACTGACTTACTGACTGATTAACCAACCGACCGATGTTCCCACCCTTCCCTAAATCCAACCAATAGTATTTGAAAAAGCACAGATTAACCCGCCCACCCATTAACGTACGTAAACCCAACCACATTGTTTTGAAAAGCAATCAAGAAAAGTAAAAGCCCTCGCCTGATTTTTAACTGTGCGGCGAGAGCGTCAAAATTCACGACATTGATCTCGTACTTAAAGGGGCCGTTGCAGCATATCATATCGGTTACATTCCCGCATAAAACATGCTTTATTAGCATGAAAATGTTGCACACTTTTGATCAAATTCATTTAACAATGGAGGATCAAGTTGCATGTGTTGTGGCTTTGCTTCACTTAATTATCCATATGTCCATATGTCTGAAATATTCTGAAGCTGCAACTGTTATATATTGTCGTATGAGATTCCCACTTTAGGAAAAAAAAAAAAAAACATTATTGCACATCAGTAACTCGCCATGCACTAACTTTTTAAATGTATGTTCCTGTAAGAAAACACTGCAAATAATTGGAAATCCGGCGACCGCAATAATCAAACCCTTGTGTTCTCTGTGTTCTCTGGACTCCTCTCAAGCGGTGGGCTTCAACATTCCGATTGCTTGCAGCCGAACCACGTCATAGCCAGGGCCGGCGCGTCCATAGAGGCGACTCAGTGACCTTCTAAGGCTGCCTAGGGCGGCAGAATAGAGAGGGCGGCGTCCCCGACACTACCCTCACTTCTCGCGCCCTTAGTTTTATCTGCATCTAGGGCGGCAGAATACAGAGGGCGGCATCCCCGACACTACCCTCACCTCTCGCAATATATCCGTGTCTAGGGCGGCAGAATAGAGAGGACGGCATCCGCGACAGCTCCCTCAACACCCCCCCTCCCCCCACGCCCCGCTTCCACTTTAGGGTTGAGGGCGGCGTGACCGTCCTTTGCCTTGAGCGGCAGTTCAGCTTGCTCTGGCCCTGGTCATAGCTCATAAACATTAAGTTAACTTGATTTCAACTCTCCTCGGCGAAGATGCGCCATACTGCGCCTCGCCGCTTATTGCCACCAGCTCCCATTGAAAATGAATGATTTCCGGCAACCTTGATGCTCTCGCCGCTTTCGGTTTAAATGTACAGAAACACATTTTCAGATCTGACCACATTCTCACCCTGTTATTTACTTGTTTATTTCATTTTTTTCACTTTTGTTTTTGTCTTACCCGCTTTCTGGAACTGTTCAAAGGACTCAAACCCCATCGTCGCGGTCAACTCCTATCTGCATCTCAAGTTCGCCAACGTACGTGTCGAGTTACCGGAGAAAATAATAAAAGTGGAAAAGCTGTTCATATGAAGGTAAGTGGTCAGCTGGTAAGTATGAAAAGGAACAGCGTCATACTGCCCTGTAGCATTCATTTTAAAGACTAATTCCAGTCATATGTACTTCTGGCTACATAATTCGCAATCTTCAGAAACGTATATAGGGCTACGTTTTCAGAATGAGCCTGTGTTGAATTTAACTTAATGCTTCATGTTGAAGGAAGTCAATTGTGTGAAACCTAGCGTTTTCAGTGTATGCTAATATTCTCAGGACTTGCTGTGTTTCCGTCGAAATAACTCAAGGGCAGGAAGTGTGCAGTTAGAGTACTGTATAGGCTACTTTGTTGTTCCTGTCAAACATAAGCACACTGACCCAGTTTTTTGGTCTGGCCTGCAAATCGCTAACGTAGCACTGTTTGAGTGTGTGTGTATGTCACAGTTAGCAAACAGTCGAGTCATCTGAGGGACGTTATAAATGTCCAGCCAAGCGTCCCCGCACATCCATCACCGCTCAAGACGGCTCAAGGTGTCTTTGAGAGAGGCTTTCTGAGAGAGACAGTGAGGCCTGGAGATAACTAATGCACTTCAGGTACACACTGTTAACAGTTTCCTGTAGAATCTATAGTAACATACTGGCAGAAGATCGCTAGTAACTTACTGTAAATCAAAATTACCGTATTTACATTTACAGCGCCATTTACATTCACCGGCCACTAGGTACACCTGGCCATAGGGTATGTGTGTGAATGAGTGTGTTTCCCAGTAGTTGGTTGCGACTGGATGGGCATCCGCCACTTAAAAACATATTCCGCAATAGTTGTCAGTTCATTCCGCTGTGGCATCCCCTGATAAATAAGAGACTAAGCTGAAGGAAAATAAATGAATGAATGTTTTTGTGTTACCTGACTAGTACTTGTAAATAAAGGTGTTTGTTAATTATGAGCAAAGCACAGGATTAAAGTGGGATTTGAGACAGGAGTAAATGGTTTTACTCTGACTTATAATTATGTGTCTCTAGTCTAATTAAACGCTGGTTATGTGGTTTTGAAGCCAAGTAAAGTCAAAGGGGCTTTTGAAGAACACGAGCTCTGGAAATCACTACTAATTGTCAATTCCTCAAGCTAAGCATACATGACAGCAATTAAACCGTGCTGTGCCAACTTTGTGTGATGCAATAAAGATACAAATAATAAATCCTGTTTGTCCCATGCTACTTTTATGGCAACCGGCAGTGATATGCACAAAATATGCTGTTGCCCTCTGCTCCAGTGAATATTAAAATGCCAGAAAAAAGTAAGAAAAATGTCCCGAAATACATTTCGCTTTCAGTGTCGGCTCAAAATTTATTATGTTGTTATTCATGCAAAAAAAAAGCACACTCACTCCTGCGTTTCTTCTCCATGCGCTTCTGTCTTTTCTCCTCTCTCCGTCTGGCTTCCTCTTCCTCCTGATCTTGTCTACACTTGTGGAAGTTCTCCACCACCACGCCAACAAACATGTTCAGCACAAAGAAGCTGACGATCAGCAGGAAGGAGATGAAGTACAGAAGCATCCAGGGATTATGATTGCGTATGGGCTACAAAAACAGAAGAAATAAAAATAGAGATCAATTAAAAAATCATCATGTGTACATCTTTTTCAATGAGCCATCGAATATTGTGTAGTGCATGCAATTACTATAATCACATATGAAATAAGCATATTAATCAAATTACTACATTAGAATTGTATATAAATGCCCTAGTATTACTTTGTAGAAATGCTCAACATTTATTTAGTTATATTACAATAATTCTACATATTGTTTAATCTCACTAATTCAGGTCATTCCTTCATTCATTTTCCATAGTCCAGCTTAGTCCCTTCGGCTTAGTCTGTATTTCAGTGTATTTCAACTATTCCAGAATATATATTACACAGCAGATGCCCTTCCAGGCGCAATCCAGTATTAGGAAACACCCATACACACTCATACACTACAGACAATTTTAGCTTATTAAATTAACCCAGAAACTCACACCAACACAGGGAGAACATGCAAACTCCACACAGAAATGCCAACTGGCCTTGAACCAGTGACCTTCTTGTTGTGAGGCGACAGTGCTAATCACTGAGCCACCCCCCTAATTCAGGTAATTGGAAACGATCTGACTTTTGTACATTAAATTTATGTACATTTTAATTGAATAAACAAAAACAACTGTCTGCTTTCTCTTTAAAAGCCTCTCTTCAAAGGCTTGATGCTTGAACTTTCAGGATTCAGTTTCTTTAGTGTTAACTCTTATGCCATGTGCCAAATTGGTGAGAATTTATATTTTTAAAATTAAAAGAAAATGTCACATTTAAATGATGTAGATGTCTGCTGAAAAAAGTATTATTAGATGCTCCCAAAAGCTGAAGGGAAGAAAATCACAGTAAAAAATGTTAAGTCAGTACAACAACAGTAAACATAATCCTTATTTGCTTTTGCTTTTTCTTGTTCACTCAAATTTGAAAACATCAGCTGCACTGACCTAAAATGATTAGTCAGTAATACAAAAAACATTTAGTTGAGTTAACAGATTGAATTACTCTGTAACAAAACTTTTTAAGTTTTGTGTCTGTAGAACTGGAATGCCTAAAAATGTGTGAAAAAAAAACAATCCTTATTTCTTTTTGTTTTTTCTCATGTACTCAACATTTTTTATTATAATTTTTTCACTTTTCATTGATAGGACAGTAGATAGTATAGACAGGAAAGAATTAGCATAGGACCTCAAGGCGGGAATTGAAATCTGTTTGCCGTGAACACCATGTGACATGTGTCGACGCACTAATCACTACACCATTGGTGCTGATGTGTACTCAACTTTTAAAAATATCAGTTGCACTGACCTAAAATGTCTGAAGTTGAGTGAACAAAAAAACTCATTTGTAAAATTGGTACAAAGAAAAAATACATTATCAGAACAAATAAACAAAGTTTAATTGAAAAAAACAAACAAACAGTAATGCATGCTTTACATGTGAAGCATTACAAAGCATTTTCCCCTTTTGTCCTGCCATGTTTTGATCCTTGTCTTAGCTATTGTTGTTTTAACTGCTGTCTTGTTTCTAATTCTGTGTCTAATAAATGTTTTGTTAAAATTTATCTCTGGTTTAGTTTTATTTTCAATCAAACTATGTTTGTTTGTTATGATAACGTATTATTTTTTATAATGTACCAATTTCCACCAGTACCATTTTTTTGTTCACTCAACTTCAGATATTTTAGGTCAGTGCAACGAATGTTTTAAAAAAGTTGAGCATGCGAAACAAAATAAAAGGAAATAAGGATTATGATTTTTTGTTCACTCAACTTCAGGTATTCTAGTTCTGCAAACAAAAATGTTCTCCAAATGTTTTTTAACAGAGTAATTCACCTCTCCAGAAAACTAATAATCTGTTAACCCAAATAAATGTCTTTTTTTGTATTACTGACAAATTATTGTAGGTCAGTGCAGCTGATGTTTTCAAAAGTTGAGTGAACAAGAAAGAGTGAAAGGAAATAAGGATTATATATATATATATATATATATATATATATATATATATATATATATATATATATATATATATATATATATATATATATATATATATATATTTGTTGTACTGACTTTATTTTTTGTTGTTAAATACTGAAATATACTTATACATTTATTAGGTACACCTAAGAATTTACTTACCCAATTTAGACATGCTAAATTGTGTAAAGTGCATAGTGCATGTGTGTGAATGTGTGTGAATGAGAGTGTATGGGTATTTCCCAATGATGGGTTGCAGCTGGAAGCGAATCCGCTGCATAAAACAGGTGCTGGATAAGTTGGCGGTTCATTCCACTATGGCGATTATCAACGGTACTAAGCCAAAAATTAAATGAGATAATGAATGAATAATTTGCTAATTTAGCATTTTTGTAGAAACTAATGTTTTTTTTTTTTTACTTATTTTAATTTTAAGTTAAGAATACAATATTGCATAAAGTAAAATACAGTGCAAAATTGTATTTGTTTGCATGATAGTCCATTAATTTCTAGCTACCTTTATGATTGTAAATACATGTAGAGAACAAAAAAACATCCTTAGGACACATAAAAGAGGAAAGAAAGATATAATACAAAAGAAAAAATGGGACAATAAGGCAAACTGGAAAAAGTAAGGAGTGACCTTAATCATAACAATATGACTCGCTATTAAAGGCATGACAGGAGTCCATCTCTTTAGGAGAAACTATGATGTGAAAGAACTCTTTAACGCCAAAAGTTCAAAAGAACAGCATTTATTAAAATTTGTAACATTTTGTAAATCTGTTATATCCCAATTGCATGCCTTTACAATTTTTCTTTTAAAAAGAAATTAATAATTTTATTTTGGAACAGTACAAAAGTGCAACCCAGGCTCATTCTGAAAACGTACCCCTATATACATTTCTGGAGAGCACCAAATATATCCAAGGAGGTACATTTTTTGCACATGTTTAATGAATCCACCAGAGGTCATTGTGTATGCTTTTTGAGATCTCAAATTTCTCTCGTGAGTGCCATTAGGGTATGTTGTTCTTGCGTAAAGACTGATCGACTGACCCACTCTCTAACCAATAGTGTTTTCAAAAGCACTGACTGATCAGCCCACCCGCCTTACCTAAACCCAACCGACAGTGTTTTAAAAAGCAATCCAGAAAAAGAAAAGCCCTTGCATAATTTTTACCACGTTTTCAGATTTTACCACATTCTCACCCTGTTTTTGGCTTCTGTTTTTGTCTTACCTGCTTTCTGAAACTGCTCTTTGCTGGACTCCAACCCCATCATCATAGTCTGCTGACTACACGTTGAGCTACTGAACAAACTGGTAACAGCGGGAAAGCCGTTCATACAGAGGTAAGCGATCAACTGGTAAACGTGAAAAGGAATGGCGTCATATCGCCCTGTAGCGTTCGCTTAAAAGAAGAAATGCAGCCATACGTACTTCTGGCTACATAATTTGCGATCTCCAGAAATGTACAGTATATAGGGCTACGCTTTCAGAATGAGCTGATGTTATATATAAGTGATAGTAAAACATTTTCACATCATAATGTGAAGGCAACTTTGTTGAAAGTTGAAAGCTGCAAGTTGCATTACTTATAAAGTTTAAAAGAGCAAAACATTTGGGAGAAATAGAAAGTGGCGAGAGGCCATCTGCAAGAAAGCAATTTCAGAAAATGTGACAGGAAGAAAGTGCATAATGTAATGGAAACTGTGCTGCTCTTATTGTATATTCAACACAATTGCTATTTGTCACTGCACAAAAAGATGGGACGGTGTAAAGGACACTATATAAACCAGTAGTGTTGAGACGGTTATTGTCCGTGAGAGAGGGAGAGAGAAAGAGAGAGTATATAAGATCTCTCAGTGGATTTAAATGATGAATGTTCTGTCTCTCCTCCTCAAGCTGCTCATTTTGGTGTCCTCCACTGTATTTTTATCTCTCTCTCCTATTCCTTCAGTTTCAGAGCTGAATTAATCACACGCTCGCTTTACCTAAAAACCTGCTTCTGCCTTTTGTGATTGTGTCACTTGAGCTTCTGGGAAGGAAAAAAAAAAAAGGTAAACACTCCTGTGCCTGTGTTTCCTTTAGTTATAACAGACAGATTCAGAGTGTGGTGTAAGTGTTTTCGCATCGAGTATAGTTATCTGAAGAACTGGCACACACACACACATGCACACAAACACACCTGTTGGTCCACAGCTACGGCATCTAATCCATCGTACATGATGTTGACCCAGCCGTCTTTAGATGATAGGACGAATAACGACATCAGCGCCTGCGAAACATTGATAAAATGGATTAATGTGAGCAAGAGAATATTACTATGACACTGTCAACAGTATCAACGTCTGTAAAGCGTTGAAGACAAGGTGAGATAAACGCTGTTGCTTAACTGAGTGACACTATTCAGCAAAAATAAAAAATATATAATTGATGGGGTAAAGGGGTGGTTTGGCTGGGAGTGATCGGTAAGTGAATTAAGAATGGTGGTGGGGGGGAGTTGGGGATTGGGGGTGATTGTTAAGTAAACTGAGGGGTGGCAGGATTTGTGGAGGAAGCATCCATGCATCCATCCCTACATATATCTATCTAGATATGCATCCATCTGTCCGTGCATCCATCCATCCATCCATCCATCCATACGTCTGTCTGTCTGTCTGTCTGTCTGTCTGTCTGCCTGCCTGCCTATCTATCCATCCATCCATCCATCCATCCATCCATCCATCCATCCATCCATCCATCCATCCATCCATCCATCCATCCATCCATCCATCCATCCATCCATCCATCTATCTATCTATCTATCTATCTATCTATCTATCTATCTATCTATCTATCTATCTATCTATCTGTCCGTCTGTCCGTCAATCCGTCCGTCAATCCGTCCGTCCATCCATCCATCCATCCATCCATCCATCCATCCATCCATCCATCTATCTATCTATCTATCTATCTATCTATCTATCTATCTATCTATCTATCTATCTATCTATCTATCTATCTATCTATCTATCTATCTATCTATCCGTCCGTTCGTCCGTCAATCCGTCCGTCCATCCATCCATCCATCCATCCATCCATCCATCCATCCATCCATCCATCCATCCATCCATCCATCCATCCATCCATCCATCTATCTATCTATCTATCTATCTATCTATCTATCTATCTATCTATCTATCTATCTATCTATCTATCTATCTATCTATGTTGATATCCATCCATCCATCCATCCATTTATCTTTATTCTGCAAACTACAGACAATTTTTTATTAATTTAAAATAAAAATGAGTCATCTGAAACATTGTTTTCATGAAATAAAAAAGACAACATGTTTTCAGACATTTATACAAATTTTTATACAACAGTCCCAGTATTCTACCTTCAGAAGAATTAAGAAATCTTTATTTCGTAGAATAAACATAATGAATCACAACCCAGGCTCATTCTAAAAGATCTCAAGTTTCTCTTGCTAGTGCTATACGGGTCTGCTCTTCTTGCGTAAATCCACCAGAGGTGGCTTTCGACTGACTGACTTACTGACTGACCGAACCGCCCATTCACACCCTTCCCTAAACCCAACCGCTAGTGTTTTCAAAAGCACCGATTGACCCGCCCACTCACTTCCCTAAACCCAACCGACAGTCTTATAAAGCAATAAAGAAAACCCCTCGTCTGATATTTACCACGTTTTCAGATTTTACCACATTCACAGTCTATTATTTGTTTGTTTATTTTATTGTTTGGCTACTGTTTTTGTATTACTTTCTGGAACTGTTCATCACCGGACTCAAACCCCGCCATCGTGATCAACTTCTCTCTTCAACTCCAGTCTGCCAATGTACATGGCGATCTACTGAATAAACTGGTAACAGCAGGAAAGCAGTCTATACGGAGGTAAGCGGTCAGCTCGTAAACGCAAAAAGGAACGGCATAGTACCGCCCTATAGAGCTCGCTTTAAAGACCAAATGCAGCCATATGTACTTCTGACTACATAATTTGCGATCTCAAGAAATGTATATAGGGCGACATTTCAGAATGAGCCTATGTTGATGAATAATCATCATCACTTTCAATCAAAACAAATAAAAGCATTTGTTATTCTGACCAATTGTCTTTTTTTAACAATTGAAAAAATTATATCACACCCTTATAGAATGAAACAAACGTTAACATTTTACTTAAGGCCATATCTAATAAATTCAGTAAATCCAAAAACTATCAAAAAAACTATCAAGTGGACTCTTATTTCCTTAGGTACCACACACACACACACACACATATATATATATATATATATATATATATATATATATATATATATATATATATACAGTATATGTGTGTGTTACTGTCACTAAAACAATTACTGTGTACCCTGTGAACCAATAAAAATGAGCATTTATTATGGCCTGTCAGAGCATGACAGATATTCAAATTACTTAAAAATGAACCATATGTTAGATGCTAATGTGAAGAAATTACACCAGGGCATTAAAGCTGCCCAGACATCACATATGCAACAATAGGAATGAGAAAGCATGTCCAGCAGATCCCTGTCATCTTGATGAAATGTGCTTGTGTGACCTGAATCTCAAACATAAAGGGCTGCTTGAACGCTTTGGAAAAAAGGGCAAATGAGAAGGTTGATTGTTTAATAAAATATGCTAGTAATGCCTCCAGTGCACATAATTCAATCTTTATGAATACCCTGTTAAAGTCTATGTGTATGTGTGTGTGTTTTTGTGAGTGTGTCCTACCTGACCCAGGTTATCAAAGTTGTACTTCCGACGGATCCATTTGTATTTAGCCTGCAGGCACTCTGATTTATTGGTGATATTTCTAGTGTCAAAGCCTTCACAATGATAAAACTTCCCCTTAAAGAGCTGAAAAATGAACAACAGCTTACATTTAGACAGCAGCAATGCAAATAAACTGCTAATTACAATGCTAACAATTGATCTGATCTGCATAAACATTAATGAATGTCACTAAGCAATGTTTTAGACTCGGGTTTATGCGTACCTGAACTCCCAGAATGCCAAAGACAATGAAGAAAGCACAACAGATCAACACAATATTCCCAATAGGTCTGAGAGACGTGATCAATGTTTCAACAACCAGCTTCAGTCCAGGAGCTCTGCTTATGACCCTGATAAGACACACACATACACACACACACATATTCAGTGTTGCAACAGTATCTGAGCTCAATGCAGGCGCACTGAACTAGAAAGAAGCTGTTAATAAAAGGGCTCAGCGTTGCACAACACGCTGACGTGCAAGATGTTCTGCGGTGTTAGCCTTGAAATGAACAGAAGTCAGCTCAGCACAATATTGCCGTGTTTGAGAGATGCTCTGTTTTGTTCAAATGTGTCTAGTGGAACAGTTTTCCTGACAATGACAGAAGATTAAATGTGATTTCAGCACCGCGGACAGTGGCAGAACAAACTTTGTGGGTGCACGTGTTTTCTCTTGTTCAAAGTCAGAGCTGGGGTGACTCAACTTTTGGTTTGAAGTGCAAATTAAATATGAAGGGTTTTTTTTATATTGCATATACAACTTAATCCTTATGCGTACTTAAAGGTATAGTTCACCCCAAAATGAAAATGTCCTGTTAACTTTCTCATCCACAAGTAATTCAAGATATAGCTGCATATTTTTCTTCAGTAGTACATTAAATAAGGTTTTTATTTTGCTAAATCCAGGGTCCTTGGTTATTCATTTAATTGCAGGGAGTGGTGACAGGTTTTTTAGATTGATAATAAACGCATACAAACAAGTCAAAATCAATAGCAATGGCTCCTGATAATACAGTGAGGTCTTGCAAAGAAATTACTTACAATATAGCTATAATTCACAGCCATTTTGGATCACATCAGATTTTAGATGACTTGAGGATGAGTAAATTAACAGGAAATTATCCTGATGATATGATAGGAAATATGGTTTTAAAAAGCTTTTTTTTATAGTTTTTTGTCTTTTACATAAAAAAATATACATTATTAAACACAAACAGCATAGATTTAGCAAAAAGGTTTTAAAGAATAGTGTTGGAGATTCAGCTTCCCTTTAATGTTCTCATTTTTATGAAAAACATTTGAAGTTCTAAAGCATCTGTTTCCTTGAAAAAGACGTGATAGTGTCATTCGAAAATGAATGGGAAATGACGTTAGCCCCTTTCACACAGTGATACCGGTAAATATCCGGAAAATTTCCGGAACGACTTTACCGGTATATTCAACAAAGCGCTGTTCACACAGGCGAGGACGTTACGGAAATTTTCCGGAAAAGAGCATTCACACATCCATTCCAAAATACCGGTAAATTCTGACATCATTCACCACAAATGAGCTTTAAACGGCTGCGCTTGTGTTTGTAATCATATGACTAAATTACAAACTCTGTGGATGATCAATATTGTGAACAACTTTCGCAGGATCACTTTCGCATGTCGAGATGCTCATAATATGTGCGTGTACAGGCGCTCACAGGCTGTTTTACAGGCACACGCAAAGCTTGAAGGTAAACAAACAACGGCTTATCATAAGCATCTCATCGATGATTATTTACACAGTTGGCATTAAGAAGAACATATAAACGTGATCTGACTATCTTCTAGCAGCTAAATGTGTCTGGAAAAATATTCAAAGGCTTTTATTCTCACAAACCGCGCGGACGTAAATGCGTCTGACTGTTGTGATTGGCTTAAGCAGACGTTTCACGTCAGCACGTTCTAGACATGCACGCGCTTATTACGGCAATCTTCCATCTGCATTCACACAGCGCAGCATACCGGCAAATTGCTGGTAATGTTACAACTTCTTTTTCCGGAAAATAGCCAGAACGAATTTACCGGTATTTTCAAAAAGGACCTGTTCACACATACAACCTTTCCGGAAAATTGCCAGCAATTTTCCGGAAAGGTCTGTATGTGTGAAAGGGGCTGTTTCTTTTTAATATAGTCAGTCATGAACTGAGGTGGGCTGGTCTAAGGCTTGAAACTCCGGGGCTGAAAAGGAGTCTCACTCTGGCCCTGTCAGAGTGTGGCTTGTGTGTACCATACATACTGTAAGAGGTATTAATTTATTTATTCATTTATTAAATTAGTTATTGAACTAGTTCTTCCATTAAAAAAAACATAATTTTAAACAGCTGCTTAACAATGAGCGAGTTGTGTTTTAGACACAATATTGTGTGTTATTTATTTGTTTATTTGCGCAGAATAAAAATGATCAAACTGAAAATTGTTTATACAAAAAATAAATTAAGGTTACTCTTTATTTTAAAGTGTCTTTGTTACATTCATATAATGATGAAGGAATATTAATTAACTCTATGTAGTTAGGGTTAGACTGCGGGTTAGGTTTAGGGTTAGTTACATGTAATTGTTTTTATCATAAATAAATGTAATTAGTACATGGATCATACGCAACAAGTATGCAAAGTGTTTCCAAAATTAGTTTTATCAACTCTGCCACACGCTGATATGTTTTAAGCTATTGCTTATTAACCATAACATTTAAGTCAATCATTTCAGCCATGCAAATCTGTTTTTAAACAAATATCCCACACACAGTTTACAACGTTAGATTCATTTTGGGTCTCTCGAGCTCCAGTCACAGTTCAAACTCATTGGACTGTAAGAGAGCAGTGCCAACATTCTACTAAACATTCCAATTGTGCTCCACGGAAGAAGCCCCTTGAAGAATATTACAACAGCCTACAAAAGAGGACTTAATGTACTTCAACACATTCATAAACACCCACACAGAGCTTCAATAAAAGTCTTACCTCAAGGGTCGGAGTGTTCTTAGCAGCCGAAGAACTCGCAAGATGCCCAGAATCCTGTTCCCGCCAGAGGAGGCAAGAGAGACCAGAATATCCACGATAGACACAAACACCAGAAAACCATCCAGAACATTCCAGCTGCTCTTCAGGTACGAGCCTGGACCGGCATACAGCCCAAGAGAAACCACCTAGAGCAACAACAACAACAACAACAACAACAGCAGCATTATAATATCACTGGTTATATTTGCATGTTTTGATGAGCATTTGTGAGTGTTTTTGCAAAAAACAAAAAACATGTTAGATAGAAAACAACTGCGGGGGATATTTTTATTTTAAAAGATGTGAACAACTTTGGTAACACTTTAGCTTAAGTCACAATGTTTGCTATTAACTACTGGCTTGTTAATGTACCTGACTATTATTAAGATATTAATTGTTTATTATTAGTTATAAAGCATGATCTTATTCTGCATCCCTAATCCTATTCAAAACCTAAACCCAACTTCTACCTTACTAAATATTAATAAGCATTAATACGTTAGTAGAGCTAGTTAAAGGTTTGTTAATACCATGAATTGTGCTTAAATAGAATTACTTTAACTGGTAAAAAATATGAGTTACTAGTTATTTACTTAAAGTTATTATCTACTAAAGTTATGGTAACTAATAACCTTATTTTTTATGATTTTGATTGTAATTCAATAATGTGCAACTTTTGTAAAGCTGCTTTAAAACAGCAATTATTAGGGCTACACGATATTGAAAAAAATCTGACATTGCGATATTTTGTATTTCTGTGATATGTGTGTGTGTGTGTATATATATATATATATATATATATATATATATATATATATATATATATATATAAAAATATACACATCGCGATGTGGCATTTGTTTCCAAAGAGAAAAACATTTGAAACCACTAAATAATAAAAATAGGAAGTGATTTTTGAGCGAAGTATCTCTTTAAAGACGCATTCAGGCAATAAACACCATTATAATGAAACTCTGCATTGATTATAATCAACTATAATCCCAACTTAACATTGCATATCTTTGCGATGTGACTATTGCAGATGCACACACTGTGATATCGATGCTGAAAGGATGTATTGTGCAGCCCTAATAATTACTGTGAAAAAGCGCTATACAAATAAACTTGAATTGAATTAAATGAAATGTGACTTCAAATAAGGTGTTACCAAAACATTTACTAAAAAATTTCCTCCAAAAAATTTAAAATTGACAACAGGACTATCCAGCAGATAATCTACAATATACTGTGTCAAATGACTCAGATCAAAATGATTTAGTTCAATTACCATCATAAACGGTCACACTAGAAAACCTGACAGTGTACAAGCTGCTTTATTGACGTCCTTTTGCAGTTGAAACACTGATTAAGAGATTACATGAGACACACATCATGCACTTCAAGACATAATATCCCCTCTTTGCTTTCCTTTGGGATATTTTTTTTTTTTAAATGGATGAAAAATGACAGGGGAGGATTCTTTTTATAAGATGAGTGCATATAAACCACAATGTAAACACTTTTATTAAATAAATTCTTTATGCGCAACCAAATAAAACTCTGAAAGTGACTTTGCCTCAACACATTATGTGATTTGATAACTGCTCTAAACAGCAGATAAATCTTTAACGCCTGTCTCAAAATGAAGTCTGTCATCAAAATGATTTCGTTAAATTACCACAGAGAGCTGTCACATGAGAAAGCATGACAGTGTACAAGCTGTTTTATTGAGTGTGTCGTCTGAGCAGGAAGTGATTTATTACACATTATTTCTGAGGACGAAGTGATTTATTATCATTCAGTTTCCCAGTTAGTGAAGGTTTGAACACATGAGGTGAAATAATGTAATATTCCAATTGTCATAATAGTAAAATTCACAACTTAAAAAAATACTGTAGCCTTATTCCTAAATGGATTAAATTCATTTATTTCCTCAACAAAATACCCCATAATGACAATGTGAAAAAAGATTTTTTGAAAATGTGGCAAATTTATTAAAAAATTAAAAAACCTGAAAAATCACATGTACGTAAGTTTTCACAGCCTTTGCCGAGAAGCTCTAAATTGAGCTCAGGTACATTCTGTTTCCACTGATCATTCTTAAAATGTTTCAGCAGCTTAATTGTTCACCTGTGGTAAATTCAGTTGATTGGACATGATTTGATAAGGCATACACCTGTCTATATAAGGTCCCAGGGTCGACAGTGCATGTCAAAGCACAAACCAAGCTTGAAGACAAAGGAATTTTCTGTAGACCTCTGAGACAAGATTGTCTCAGGGCACAAGGCTGGTGAAGGTTACAGAAAAAATTCCGCAGCTCTGAAAGTTCCACTGAGCACAGTGGCCTCCATCATCTGTAAGTGGAAGATGTTTGGAACCACTAGGACTCTTCCTAGAGCTGGCCGTCCATCTAAGCTGAGTGATTGGGGGAGAAGGGCCTTAGTCAGGGAGGCGATCAATAACCCGATGGTGACTCTGTCTGAGCTCCAGTGTTTTTCTGTGGAGAGAGGAGAACCTTAAAGAAGGACAACGGCATGGTAACGGTATGGTAGATTGGCTAGACGGAAGCCACTCCCCGCCTGGAATTTGCCGAAAGGCATCTGAAGGACTCTCAGACCATT